CCAAATTATAACAATGCATATTTTTTAAGTTTGTGATTACAAATAGACTAGTTGGAACTTTTTGTAGGTCACTTAGCAGAGAACTCTTATGATATGAATTAGAAGGAATAAAACCTTTTGCTTACAATTAATATTTTGGGATTTTTTATTTTACTTTTTTTTTCAGAACTGGAGATTGAACTCAGGCCTTTGCTCAACTGAGCCATCTCCCCAGCCTTCACTTTTTCTTAAGAATATTGGCAACTGCATGCTTTTCCTCTTCACCTTGCCTCTAGCTCAGTCACCTTCACATCCTCTTTCACTGATTCAGACCTTCTTTTTCCTTTTTTTATTTTTATTTTTGTATTTTTTTTTAATTTCATTTTTCTGATACAGGGTCCTGTTACACAGTCCAGACTCGAAATGATCTTTTTGTCTCAGACTCCCCAGTGCTGAGATTACAGGTGTATGCCACCATGCCCAGTTTCTGGGCTAGCATGTCAAATGCAGTGTTTTGGGGCCAGTATGGCGTGCTGTACCAGAGATTGAGCCTGAGTCCTTGTACTTGCCAGGCAGTTACTGAGACTGCCAAACTATCTCCGCAGTGCAAGACCTTTTCATAAAAACAAAAACAAAAATAAAACAACAACCTCTCCCCAGCATTTCTGGGATATTCTGTAAGTCTTAATATAATTTGGGTTAATTTTACATCTGGATGAACCTTTGCATGATTTTTAGGATTTTGCTGTGGCCTTGACCTCCCAGCCAGGGCCATGCCCCACCCCAAGATCCCCTTCTCCCCAGCAGCTCAGCACTCATACCAAGGAGTATAAAATATAAGATTATATTCTTATTTATACTCTTAAAAGTCCATTGAAGCATGATAATTTCACTACCCACTGGTGAATGAAGAATCTGCAACTGCTCCTGTGTTGTTAGGACCACAGGCACATTCCCCTGCCAACTGGTGATTCCTGACACCAGTGCTGTCCCCATTTGATGACATAAATGCAGTGGCCATGTGTGTGCGGGGGTACCATGTGCACAGCTGGGTGGAACCCTGTGTATTATATAGCTTGGTTTTGGGCCATGGAGGTGGACAGGCCCACAGCCACCCCTTACTGTGGTACAAGACAGGCTCCCTGCCATCCCCTTCCCCTAGTGAGGTGTGCTTCAGGCTGGAGTCAGTCCTGGCCCAACTCCAGGATCTGTGGGTCACAAAGCTCCATTGGCCCCACTGCGCCACTGGCTAGTGCCCACTGACCCAGCCTCCTCTGCTGCTCAGGGCTTGTGAGAGGTGACAGGAGCAGCAGGACAGGGTGCTTCTCTCTGGTCTTAAACTTCGGCTCTTGCTAGTTCCTTTAAGAATCTGGAGGTGTCTAGATTGATTTATGTGGGTTTTCCTGAGCCTTTTTTTTTTGGGGGGGGGAGGGTGGAACCAGGGATTGAACTCAGTCAGGCCCTTGTGGCCTTGCGCTTGCCATGGAAGCGCTTATTCCACTGAGCCATCTCCCTGGTCCTACCTGAGCCCTTTAGAGTGAATTTGTCTCTCCCCAAACACCCAAACATCTCTGGCAGTGTGGTGACTGACTCCTTTGTAAAAACTCTGATGCTAGGGAAGTCAGCTTTTCCCACACAGCCTCTGCGTTGGGGGCAAAAGCCTCTGCTGGGAGCATTGTTTTTCCTCTGTGTCTGATGCAGGAGTGGTTGGCTGGGAGATCTGTAATGTATTTAGTACTGATTGAACTGAGTTCCCAGTTGAAAAGATCTCAGGGGAAGCCAATTTTTCTTTATCATGTGCTCATGTAAAATTTCCTGTGACTGTCTCCCAATTATCAACATCTAGGTACCTGCCTGAGGAAATCATGGATTATATTTGGTTACCTCTTACAGCATTTTTAGTAAATCTTTTGTTGACACATGAGCCTCAAATGTTCAAGCAGGCCTTGGAGCAACTGCATGTACCTTTGCTCCTTAGCTGATACATTTCGCCCCACACTTTATTGCTCAATAAAAGAATACATGTCGATTCGCAGTGGGAGTGCTCACATATCTTCTTTATGAAGGCCTCTCACTTCCGATTTCTTCTCTGTGAATGACCCTGAAGACTGCATTCAGCAAAGTCCTTCTGTGTCTCACATGTTTTCCTCTCTGAGTGGATCTTACTCATCCAGGTCTTAAAAGTCCCAGTTCAGGATTTAGGTTCCTGTTTCAGGCACCAGTTATGAGGGACTGGGCCCAAGCCCCTAGCCTCCTAAAACAAGTTATGGTGAAGGATTAAATAAAAGAGACAAATAATACCACTTTGGGAATCCAAGAAGGTCAGAACTGTCTAGGAACTAAGACAAGGATTTCTCTGAATCAACCATATTTACTGGCTCTATCTCAATTCAAGGGGGTGCAGGAAGTGGAGGGCACACTGAGACAAAGGCCCACAGAAGTGAGCAGGGCCTTGAATCCACCCCAGCATCACACATTCTAGATCCAGACACTTCTGAGAAGCTCCACCTAGGTCTGCATGAGGTTTTGGGGGGACATCTAGATTCACTCTTTAACATCCTCTTAAAATCTAATAGACTAGGAAAAGTTACGTTAAGAAGAATCTTTTGCTAGCCAGAAAATATACTCTCAGGACTACAAAAGCTGTCTTTTCATGCCCCTTTCTTAGAGTCCTTGAGATCCATTTCCCATAGTAATCACAACACTAAATGGTTATGTCTGAAATCTTTCTCCATGTACTACTAGCAATAGGTTTGGCTTTCCTGCTGGCTCTTCTCCTGTCTGGATCTTCACAGCAAAAGGCTATGGAAGCAAGGTGAACACTAAGTGCTTAGCTTGCTGATCCAGATCACATGGTTTCAAAGCCCAGCTCAATGTGGTCTTGAGCAAGATCACTTGGGCCAGCAGCTCACAAATAGGGCCAGTTAAGAGATGTTTGCCATTTGCCAATGTCTGAAGTCATCATTTTCAAAATGAGGGTGGGCCATCGAGTTGGTAGAGGCTGCCAAATAATCTTAAAATTCACAGGACAGCCCACAAAGAATTTCCTGCCCAAAATGCTGACAATATTAAGGTTGAGAAATTCAACTGTAATGTTGTGAAGCTTCCATTTCTCATCCAGAATTGGAGTTTGTAATTGTAACTATTTAATCAGTTTTATGATGGTTACATGCAGTAATCCACTTGAAATAATCAATGTAATTCCTGGCACATAAATATTCTGAGACATGTTTGAAAAATATGCTGAGTAATTTTTTAAAACTTCTTACAGTAAAATACATATTGCCATTAATCCCTCACAGAACAATCCCCCTCACATCAACACACTTATCCCATCATTTTTGCCCATTATTAAAGCAGTTCTGGAAGTGCACTTCTGTGAGTATCTTTAGTTGCACTACATGGATGCAAAAATTTCCTGAGTCACTTCAAAGTGCCTCTTTTCATGGTCATTTTGACTTTAGGGTAGAGGCAGAAGTCTCACAAGTCCAAATCCAGTGAAAAAGGTGACTAAGCACCAGAAGGCTTTCTGACTGATGGCATGAGACAGCAGTATACCCAATATTTTTTATCACACCTCATAAAGACAAAAACGAGGTCTTCTAACACTGTTTCAGAAAGTGACAGAAGTGATGGGATCAGTGTGTGCAAAGCAAGGGGGATTGTTCTGTAGGGCCTAATGGCAATGTGTCTTCTGCTGTAATCTATTTTTAAATTTAAACATATACTGTATGTTTTGACCAACTCCTTTGTAAATTATCCTCCTCACATCATACTAATTTGGATATTTGGTATGAATGAAAAGAACACGCTCTGCCACCTATACCCATGCACCATGGAAATCCATTTGCCTTTTCTTTTATTATTATTATTATTATTATTAATGTATTTAGTACAGGCTCTACAGGGTCTCACTACACAGATTGGACTCATAGTGATCCACCTGTTTTCAGCCTCCCGAGCTCTGGGATTACAGGCATGTACCCCATGCACAGTCTCAATAGCTGTCTCAGCAAACCCCCATCCCCACATCTGCCTAAGCAGGCACTTTAATCTGTTGAGCTATCTGGCTGGCCCTGCCTCTTTTTTTATTGGGTGAAAATTTCTAAAGAATAAAGAAAACCGTGGATTAGAAATTCTTTTTGTTTACAGAGTGAAAGATAATCAATATTTAGGTGACCACTTACTATCTGCCTCAGTTAATCTTCTCTCGTTGCTGGGACAAAAACCTGACACCCAAAATGAAGGAAGGAAAGGTTTATTTAGCTCACAGTTATTGGAGGTCTCAGTCCATACTCAGCTGGCAGTTCATGGTGGTGGGAGGCAGCAAAACAGCAAGGGGAGGCAGCAATAATGGCAACAGAGAGCAAATCTGGCTCCCTTAAATTGCATTCAGGCTATCTGCCCCAGGCTGGTGTAACATTCACACCCATAATCCCAGCAGCATTCACACCCATAGTCCCAGTGGATCATGATTTAATCTCAAACTTTAGAAATCCACCCCATGATTGCATGAGCTTTGAGGGGATAGCTAGAGAGATACAAACCATAACACTATCCTAAGAAGAAAATGCTCAGTTCTATTTATGTAAATAATTGTTTTCACATCGTTTGATCCCTCTCTCCCTCCCCTCCCCTCCCCTCCCTTCCCTTCCCCTCCTCTCCTCTCCTCTCCTCTACCTTTCACTTTTTCCCAAAGTTCAGCCTCTGTTTCTCTTCAGATCTTTTGATGTTCAAAATTTTCAGTCTTTGCTGATTATACAGGACTTCGGAGCCTTTAAACTAATAGAATTCATTAACCAGGACAAAACACTAGTATATTTACAAATAAAAAATTGTGTTGCCAATTCAGATTACTCACATAATAACTAAATTCCTTCATTGTTTAAGTTTTAAACTCAATAATTTGCATTGTTTAATTCTATTAGGAAATACTGTAAGTCCAAAATCCTAGTTTTACTTAGTAACCATACATCCTTCCATAGTAAAATGATACTTATGATTTGTTTTTATATTTCAAGGCAAATGCAATAGGCCGTAGTGCTAAAACTGTTCGAGAATTTCTAGAAAAGAATTACACAGAAGATGCCATTTCAAATGACGATGACACAATCAAATTAGCAATAAGAGCATTGCTCGAAGTAAGTGATGGAGCTGTCCATACAGGCATGCGGTATTGTTCTTATCTACTTTTATTTATTAAACACAAACTTTGTTGGAGAATAAATGTTCTGCACATGTCAGGTACACACCTTATCACTGAGCTACACTGTGAGCCAGCGTAAGCAGTTCTGATGTGTATCTGCTCTACACTAGGTTGTCCAGTCTGGTGGGAAGAACATTGAACTGGCTATAATAAGAAGAAATCAACCCTTGAAGGTAAGTCATCATGCAAACAGAAAAATATATGTGGTACATTTTTATAAAAGTTGAAATATTATTGATGCCTGTGAATCTTCATTAAGAGCCTGAGATACCCATTCATATTCATCGATAACGTGATGACTTTTGTTTTGCTAGGCTATATTATTGTGTGCTTAGTTGAGGCAGTTACCAGCCCCTCTCTCTTTGTGGATAACTGGAAGTGCAGCAGTCTCCCCATAGGCCTATCCATGTAGTGCGTTTTGCTATCAGGAGGAGCACTGTTTAGTCATTCTCCTGGCTGGCCAGTTTTGCTGCCAGCACCACAGTGAGAGAAGTTATTCCTCCTGTCCTCTTAGATCTTCTGAAATCCAGGTATGCTTTTGGGCAGTATGATTTGGCTAGCATTTTTATATAACTGTTTGTCTTCTGGGTTGCATCCTCCTTTATATCAAAGACCTGCACTCCTTGGTGACTGATGTTTTCTTGCCTGTTTTCAGTGGCAGTGGGGATCAGAGAGATGACCTTGTCCACACTGTACTGCTGAGCTGCATCCCCAGCCCCTGCCTGCTGATTTGCAGGGGTGGGGTGGGGGCGGGCTCTTTCCTTTTCACTTGACGGTGCCTTGAGCACCTGTCAGGCTTCCATTTTAATCCCCAGCATGATAATTTTTCTTTATGGCAAGTCTAGCATTATTTGGGTGCCTTTTCCAGCCAATAGGATTAAAATTTCCAGACCACCAAATTAACTTCTCAGAATATTGTGATAGAGGGTGGGTAACGACGATTTAAAGTGGTTCACTGTTTTAGGCAGAACTATGTAGGGTCTGGTTTGCTAATTAGTACTCTAAAGTTGAGATTATATCGCAGCACTCAAATCATAGGAAACAATACTAAAAGCATGCTTTCAGGGCTGCTGTGCATGTTGTACCCCTCCCTTCCATTGCTCCCCCCCGCCGCTCTGGGGGAGCGAAGCCAGGACCACTGTGCCAAGCTACATCCCAGCCCTTTTTATTTTTTTATGTTGAGATGGGTCTCACTAAGGCACTAAGTTGCCCAACGAGGCTGGAGTTCGTTATCCTCCTTCCGCAGCGCGCCAAGGCACTGAGATGATCGGCCTGCACCTGCAGGCCAAGGAGAAGCTGTGTTAAAATTGGTGCTGTCCAAGCACAGGGATGCGCGCTCTGGGACTTCGTCGTCATCATTTAGAGACTACTTTTCTATCTTACGTTGTTTAGCTAACAGGTGGTTGTGAGGATAAAAAGCAGCAAAATTTCTGTAAATACGAGTAATGGCACAGGGTGCTGGGGGCTGTCCCATGAGCAGCCACACATCAACAAAGGTGTGATCACAGTGTAGAGACACTGGTGCTGTGCTCAGTTGTCATACTTGCCACCAATGATCTAGGGACACGAGCAGCAACACAGCAGGGTCTCTGAAGCTACTGAGTGAGGCCAGAGTTGGCCCTTCAGTCCTAGCGTGTGGACACACCCTCACATGGCAGCCATACTTTCACACAAACACGCGGCCATGCATGCATTCTTTCTGATCAGTGGTAGACGCTACGCGGACCAGCAGCAAAGTGAGACCATCATTCTGCATGAGACTTCAGGATAGGCTGTGTGGAGAACGGACAGCAAGACTTGCAGTTGGCACACCTAGCTCTAAGTTTAGAGTCACATAAACTGTTTTAAGTGCCAGTAGATTTGTTTGTTCTACAGGATGATATTGAATATGCTGCTTTTATCTTCAGTTTTCAATTTTCTTGGGCAAAACTGAAGCTTACAGTAGTTACCTCAAAGAGCTTTGCCATAAGTTAGCAGTAGTACACTGCATAGTAGTTGCTCGCTAGGGAGTGCTGTTGTGCATTTTACCCTCGAGTGAGGGGAGAAGATGTGTCTGTGTAGGCGCGTGCTGTCAGTTTGAGCATTGTTAATCACGGCTAAAAGCAGCTGCTGTATATTTTTAATTTAAGTGTAAAGTGTTTGAAAACAAGGAGGTAGATTCCATACAGTGTGACTTTCTGCAACTGATTGCAAAACGTATCTCTTTCTGCGCTCTTAGGCTACCAGAACAGGCACGGACCTATAAGAAGTGGCACTCAGTACTCCTTCTTTCTCCATTGTCTCTCATCTGCTTTTTTAAAGATTAGATTGATGTTTTGGGTAGACATTTGAAAATAGCCCTTACAGAAATAGAAAATTCTTATTTATTTATTTATTTATTTTTAATGTATTTGGTACAGGGTCTCACTACACAACTCAGACTCGTAGTGATCCTCCTGTTTTCAGCCTCCCCAGAACTGGGATTACAGGCGTGTGCCACCACGCCTGGTCTTGGTCACCAGCTCAGCGTGCCTGGGGATGGGGTCGGTGCAGCACGCGGGGCGAGGATTGCATCCATCCCTGCGCTGGCCACAGCAGGTGCTTAGATGGCTGACCTATCTCACCAGCCAGGAAATAGAAAATTCTTACTAGAAAAAATTTAACCAGTTCCTGTGAACCCAGCAAGAAATAAAGGAAAGTGGACATATAATAGTTGGAATGAATGTTTTGATCCAGAAGTTTAAAAAAAAAAAGAAAAGCCTCCAACTCACGCTGGCTTAAACATAAACAAATTTTGTATCTCACCATTTCAGGTCTAAACCTGCACCAGGCACAGTACATTTCACATCCTGGTGATCATGGTGGTGTTCATGTGTGTGTGTGTGTGTGTGTGTGTGTGTGTGTCCACTCTGCCATTTTTAACTGTGTCTTTGTCCTACGGCAGTTTGTTCTAATAAGATTGATTCCCCAAATAACTAACAGTACAGGGGGAGTGCTTGCCCACATGTGGAAGGCAAACCTCCCCTTCCGGCCTGCTGACTGGGAATCTGAAGATACCCTCTGAACAGGATTATGCTTGAGAGTTAGCTAATGCTAAGCACCAGGATAGAACGGCTATTTGGGGAATCAACCTTCAGGTACTGTCTAGGAGGTTTTTAGATGTCTTCAGAGTCAGATCTAGTTCTGGTTTGGTTAAACTAGTTTTGTTAAAGAGTGTCAATATATATCCAAATGTAAAAAACTTTCTTCATAAAATTTTCATTAAAATATTTTGGAAAACTGATTCATTTTTGTTATTGCCTTCATAGATTCCTCATGAAAGTAATATAAATCCTGTTTTAGTCTCTGTTTTATAAAGTTCTTGTGTGGGACATAGTTCTGTGAAGAGAGTAAAAGTGGAACCCGAGGGCTACCCTAGAGCGAGGTCTAGTTCTCCCCCTCCCACAGTGAGGAACTCACTAACTATATATTTCTGTTTGCTTAGCTATAGAATAATAGCCTTCTCACGGTTATGGTAAGCACTGAATTAGTAACTTAGGAAAACACATCATAATAAATGCCTGTAGCAGTATAAACCTATTATCATGATATCTGTAGCACTTTTTTCTTTTTTATGAGAGGAATCTTATAACACTGTCTCCTCATTATTCTTTTTAATTTTTTTTTTTAAAATGTATTTCCTGCAGGGTCTCCCAACACAACTTGGACTCATAGTGATCCTCTTGTTTTCAACCTCCCCAGCACAGGGATTTCAGGTGTTCACCACCACGCTCAGACTCAGTCGCTGGCTCAGTGCGCCCAGGGGTGGTGCCAGGGATCTAACCTGGGTCCCTGTGTTTGCCTAGCAGGCGCTTAGTGCACTGAGCTCAATCTCACTGGCCCCGTAGTGCTTTTGCTTAAACTGATTTCAGAGATGGCATGCTTTACCGACCTGTCCTTGTCAGTTCTGCTGTGTGCAAGTGCATAAGACGTAAACACTGTCCTATCTGAATGGATTCAGGTACATTGAATTTAAGTGAACTCTATTTCTTCTCACTTTGAGGACACTGTCACTCAGAGAGGCTGTACAATTAATTCACAGTCACAGCTACTGAATGATAGGACCAAGAGACAAGACTATCCTTGGCTTGAAAAGTTGGTCTAACACATCAGGCCAGGATTCCATGACCAGAGAAAAAGAGGGGAAAGAAAAGAGGAAAAAAGTATAATCCATATCTATAAGGAGAGCAAGAGAAAAAAATGTATAAGCCACTTTAAAAAAACAGAAGACAAGCACTGTTAACAATTCTTAAAGATTGGATGCAATAATATTCAGGTATTATTAACCCTAAACTAAAACAAAGAACCTTGCAATAACCCACATTATAGGACCCACAAGAAATCTTTTAAAAACCTAAAAAAAACTGTGAATAATATTCTCAAAGAGATGAGAGAATATTTTTGAAACATGCAGAGAGTCCAAAGTGCTTTTTTGAAAAACAAGATGATTCTGGCCAAAATGAAAGTTCCGTAAAAAGGTTAGAAGAAAAAATGAAATCAAGGAAATCTCCCGGAAAATAAAGCATGAAGATCTATAGATAACCAGAAAAAAGATAATTGAACATCTGTGTCTAAGCTCCATTGTATAGATAATAAAAAAGAAAAAAGATATGAAAATTAAAATTATCCAAGAAATAGCAGAGAACTATCTAAGAACAAAATTCTTAGAACTATAGGCCATGAGTTATGAAGCTCTTAGCATGGTAAATGAAACACAGCAACCACTGATAATTCATCAAAAAGTTCTGGAAGCCTGGGATGAGTGGGAGCCAGGAAGACAGTGCTATAGGCTCTAGGAAGTCAGGAGACACTGTCTGAGATGTAGTAAAGAGAAATAGCAGTGGAAACATAATGCAGACATTTGAAGGAACAGAGTCCACCGAGGACTGGAGGGAGTGGAAGTGGACGGGGCTCCTTCTGCTTCCCTACTGACCGTCATGTGCCACTTCAGCGCATGCACGTACATGAACACAGCACAAGGGCGGAGGGAGCTGGCTGGATACACCCTGCCACTGCCCTAATTCCAAAGTGTCCAGACACGGGACCTATTTTTATGAAGGCCTCTTTCTCTCTTTCCCAAATAAAGTACACCATTTTATTCAGTTCTTATTTTAACAGAACGATTTATTACATGTCTGGTTTCTGTCCTAAGCTGTAGAAGCCTCATTGCAGACAAGAACTGTATTGTCCCACTTTATTTTCAGAGCCCATGAAACAGTGAATGCATGATAGGTAAATTTCCATTGCCGGATTAAATAATGTACATGAATTATTTCCAAACACAGATTTTTTGGTATGTATTTGTTTTTAATGGAAAGATTCTGGTGTTAAATTAGGAGTCAGAGTCTTCCTGTTTAAACCCTCTTCAATTTTGGGACAAATAAATTAGCTTTATGAACCTCAATTTCCTTATATATAAAATTGGTAATAGGTAGACTAATGGGTAAAATCTCTTTTTTCTCTGTCATCTTTCAAAGTTGGACTTGTCCTAAAGTTGCTTATTCCTTCACCAGTTTGCTTCACATCTCTATCCTTAAGATAATTAAATTTAGATCTTTCTATACAAATATCTTCAGTTAAATATTTTTAGCATGAATTATATAATCTTGAATCTAGTTGTGAGCAGTAAAATTGCCAATCAAAACTGTGTTGCAAATTCTTAGAAGAAAAACTCTTTATCTTCTGCTTAGTGAAGGAAACAAACAAAAGCAGTGTAAGTCATCTTTTCCCATCTGTTTTGCCTCTTCTGTGAAATACTGTAAAATAGTTAAACTCTATCAGACAAGCACCCAATAGGTGATGTGTATGTGGGGGTTTCAATAATGTGTATCTTGCTGATGAATGACAATAAGTCTTACGCTGAGGTATTTTCAGAGTTAGATGCATGCATAGGATGTATAATTTAATATCACATTTTACCCAGCTTTGTTTTATAGTACAATGATAATGGAAATGTTGGAGATCTGATTTTGTCCATAATTATTACAAGTATGTTGTTTTTGAAACATTTGAAGTTGGGGTGCTGGGGATATAGCTCAGTGACATAGTGCCTGTCTGGCAAGCACAAGGTTATGAGTTCAATTCTTGGTATTAAAAAAAAAAAAAAGCCAGCCAGATAGCTCAGTGGATTAAAACACCTGCTTCAGCAGACTGAGGTTAGATCCCTGGCATGTGTCCTAGCCCCGCCACCAGGGCGTGCTGAGATGGCTATTGGGACTGGGCGTGGTGGCAGGTGCCTGTAATCCCAGTGTTTGCGAGACTGAAAATAGGAGAATCACTATGAGTCTGATCTGTGTAGTGAGACCCTGTACACCCTTTAGACCCTGTCCTAAATTCATAAGAAAGAAAAAACCCAAAAAGTTGTGAATAGAAAATACAAATTTGTAAAAATGGGATTTCTTTATATTGTCATTAGTTAGATACTGTGTGATCAAAATTTCTTTCTAAAAATATTTCTGTTTTTCAGATGTTTAGTGCCAAAGAAATTGAACTACAAGTATCTGAAATAGAAAAGGAGAAGGAAGAAGCAGAGAAGAAAAAATCAAAGAAGACTGGCTAATTCTTGGAATATTTGGAGCTTTTAATGCTCTGTTATACTTCTTGGAATTACTTTCTGGAATTTGAGAGGAAATTCATTTTCAGTGTTATGTTTAGTACATGTAGGTGCTGCTTTGAAAATGTCAGCTATGTGGCCATCTGTAGTCTACTATGCAGTACCAAATATAGGTTAATGTGAAGGTTTTTCTTGAAAAAGAGATTCTAGTCATTGTTGAAAACAGTCTTAGTTCCACGTAAGCCTGAAACTACATCACTTGTCCAGTGTGTTGCTTTTCTTCATATAAACAAATTTAATTAAGAGGCAATTTATATTTTTAAAAATTTAGAAGTCAGTGAAGTAAAGTAAAAAATGTAGTGAAGTTTGAATATTCACTATCAGTTAAAAACTCAAAATATACTAGATTTAACATTGAATTACATTTGTTGATGAATGAAAAAGCATCCATATGTTGATAAATTGTCAAAACTTTGTTAGACTTCATTTTTAAATAAATATTTTGGATTTTGTATTGTCTTTTTTTCTTTTTCTTTTTGAGACAGGGTCTGGCTATGCCGCTCAGGCTGGCCTTGAGCTTCCTTTGTAGCCCAGACTGGTCTTGAACTTGCAATGATCCTCCTGCCTCGGCTGTCTGAGTGCTGGAATTACAGGTGTGCGCCGCCACACCCAGTTCCTTTATCTTGTAAGTCGTGTATATTATCTTATTCAGGAATACTAAAGTCCTAATCCAAATGGGCGGGTCATGTGCAATAAGAGTTTATAAGAGATTCCTAGTAGGGAGCTAGTTTGAAATAAGGGAAGAAATTAAGACTTGTAACTTTAGTTGAGATTTTATCCCATCTCAAGAATGTTCAGTATGCTAGGTTTGTTGCATGTTCTGCCAAATACATGAGCGCTGCTTCTGTTATCTTTGGCCTTGAACGGGACTTACTAGGAGGAACAAGACTAGAACACACAGTGATTCCTGCCTCCTAACAGAAGGGCAGCTGTCAAGTGTCCATGCACTAATCCTGGACAACGATGAGTGTCCTGCCTTCATGACCCAGTCCTCTCCCCAAGTCTCCACCTGCCACACATGAGCCTTTGAGGGGTCGTCTAGATAGGCATCATAATAAGAGAAGACTACTGTCTGACTTTTTATGTATTTAGTACAGGGTCTACAGGGTCTCACCGCACAGATCGGACTCACAAGGCTTCTGTTTTCAGCCTCCAGTGCCACCACGCCCAGTCTCAGTCACTGTCTCGGTGCGCCCCGGGGAGGGGGGGGCGGCACACTTGCCAGGGATCAAATCCAGGTCCCTGCATCTGCCTACGTGGTACTTTAATCCACTAAGCTATCTGGCCAGCCCCTGACTCCTGATATTGCATGATAATATAGCCTACACACGGATGACCTCAATAACAGTGAGCCACTATTTTCCAAAAACCAGTATGGTATAATAAAGTCATACCTAACGAAAATATTCATTGGAAGAGGTCTAATATAATTAAAGGTCTCTTTAAGTATCAGAGCATGAAAAGTTAACTGATACGATTTCACTTTCCACATTATAATTCACCTTTAAAAAACTAACACTTGTCAAAATTTGCAGTAGCTTGAGGGAGAAGATCTATAAGAATCTGAATTTCATGCACGCCATCAAAATAAAAAAAAAGAATCTGAAAAAGCTACAAAAATACCTTTGTGCTTTCCAGCTATGCATGTGCATGAAATCAGATTTCCTTCAAATATAGAACAACCTATTGCAATAGCCTGAGTCCGGAATCCGTGCAATGCAACTGCCTGGGTTAACCTAGAAACAGAAGACAGTTTGCAACAGTGTACAGCAGTGTTGTTCTTGCTACAGTGGGGCACATTTCTGACCATTTTTCATTAAAAATATTCATGAAGGTAATGTGGGTGCTAGTTATTGATTTCTCATCTCTCATTTAGGAACCCAACTTTCTCTGCAATAGTAAAGTGGATTGTGACTTGAAAACTTTTACCAGGTTGAGGAGATAGCTCAGTGGTTTAAGTGCCTGCCTGACAAGCAGAGTCCTCTTTGATACCTGGTGCAACAAAGAAAGAGGAAAAAAAAAGTTTACCAGCTGGTGCAATACTGAGCTGTATCAGTAGAGGGCACTGAAGTGACAGTATGAAGCTGTAGCAGCCCTGCATCCTGGGCTGCTGGGTCCTGGCGTCCCGAGTCCTCCAGGGACGCCCCAGGCCATACTTTTCCCACCCTCAGAGGAACACTGGCTCAGGCAGGCTTCTTACTGCAGCCTGTCCTTGAGGTGGCTGACACCGCTGTGGAAGGGCCCTCTCTGTGTCTTATTTTCCCCTCTTCCTGCAGAGACAGTGTAAGACTCTCTTTTCTTGCTGCTTGTAACAATAGTACAAACTAGGGACTTTATAACAAATGGAAACTTAAGTTGGCTTATGTTCAGCACCTTCTCTTGCCTCTTGCATTGTCTGGCACTTTTTTTCTTGCCACACTGCCAAGCTGTCCTCAACTTGAGATCTTCCTTCCTCAGCCTTGCAGCTAGTGGGTACCACCAATCTGGCTAGCACTGATTTTTTTTTTTTCCTGGAACTTCTGGGAAATTTGTAGTTCTCTTTTACTTTTTTTTTTTTCAGTTAGCCGTATTCTATTACCTAATAATTTTTTCCCCTGTGGTACTGGAGATTGAACCCAGAGCCTTTATAGGGAGCTACTTCTCCAGGTTTTTTTCTTTCATTTTTTTACTATGTGACTGGGCCTGGCTAAACTGCTTAACTGCAGGGGTGTGTGTGTGTGTGTGTGTGTGTGTGTGTGTGTGTAACTTGTGACCCTTCTACCTCTGCTGTAGGATCATAGGCCTGTGCCACCATGTCCAGCCTCTAATAATTTATATTGAAATTTCCCTCCTCAATAACTAGTATAATAGCTGCCTCTTGATTGGATTTTTTTCTAAGATAACATGCAATGAGACTTGTGCTGTTATTTTTAAATAGGCTAGTAAAAAATTTGTAATTTTAATTTCCCCCCTTACCTCTTTCTTTCTTTCTTTCTTTCTTTCTTTCTTTCTTTCTTTCTTTCTTTCTTTCTTCCTTCCTTCCTTCCTTCCTTCCTTCCTTCCTTCCTTCCTTTTCTTCCTTTCTTCCTTTCTTTCTTTCTTTCCCTCTGCAAGCGTTCTTTTGATGTTTTTTGAGAGGTTGTTGCTAAAGTGACTAGGTTTGAGCTTGTGATCCTCCACCCTCAGCCTCTACCATATCTGAGATCACAGATGTGTGTGGCCACAACTGATTTTATTTCTAACATGGTAAGCTGCTGATGGGTGTAGCCCATATAACTGGAATATTGGAGGCTGTTCACTATATTAGTCACTTTCCTGTCACTGGGACAAAATATCCAATACTCATAATTTAAAAGAGGAGAAGTTTATTTGGCTCACAGTTTTGAGGGGGCTTATTTAGTCCATGGCTAGCTGACCTGAATGTAAAATGATGGAGTTGTAGGAGGTAATGAGGTTGATGATTTCTTCACTTTAAAACCTGGGACCTTTGCATTTCTTAATCTAAAGTTGCGTTAAGAAAAAAAGATAGAGGCAAAAGAGCTCACACTTTCCCCATTCATTAATAGTAGAATTGAAATGTAATCACAAACTCGAATCTTTTGGTGGTAAAGAAAAGATCAAATAAAAATCTTACACCTATGAGCAAGAGAAGATCTCTGGGAAGGATTACCTGGAAAAGGTACAGAAGAGAGAATGATGAGTGACAGGTTTGAAATGTTTACCACAGAACCTTATGAAGAGACATAGTCCTTGGCCTCTTCCCTTCGGGTCTCTTTTTATTTCTCTGTTATGGCTTGTGTCTAGGTGTCCTCCCAAAGCCTCACGAAGTCATAGGTTGGACTTCTCGAGTTTATGATTAACTCATGATCCACTGGGATTATGGGTGTAAGTGCTGCTGGGATTATGGGTGGGAGTGCTACACCTGGCCTGGGGCAGATAGCCCGCATGCAACTTAAGGGAGACAGACTTGCTCTCTGTTGCTGTTGTTGCTGCTACTCCTCCCTTTGTTCTCTCTGCTCTTTGTTGCCTCCATGAAAGGTTGCTCTCTGCCATGTGCTGTCTGCCTTGGAGCCAGCTGAGTACAGACTGAAACCTCCAGGAACTGTGAGCTAAATAAACCTTTCCTTTCTTCATTTTGGATGTCGGTTATTTGTCCCAGCAACGAGAGAAGAGTAACTAAGACACGCTCCAACCCACACTCACCATGAGGTGAGCAGCTTTCCTCCACTGTATCCTCCTGCCAGGATGTTGCTGCCTTGAAGCCAATTTACCATGGACTAAAACCTATAAAACCATCTACCAAGGTACAATATATACCGTGAAAGGGAAAGAAACTGCTCAAAAGGAAAGAACAATTGGGATGAGGAAAAGGAAAAAAGAAGGAAGGGAAAATATTTATATATTGTCATGGTTAATACATTGTGTCAACTTGAGGAGTCTAGATCCTGTATCTGGGGCTGAAAAGAACATGCCCTTGCTGTTGTAGAACATTCACTGTGTCAACCTGAGAATGTAGAAGTTTAAGTGATTCAGCAGGGGACCAGGGTCCATGAATGCTAAACTCCTCCCCCTGGAGGATGAAAACAGCTTGTTCCACCCCTTCCCCTTGTGCTCTTGCTGTCTTCCACAGCCTTGGACTGTTGTCCCTGTGCCACACCACCTTGCCTTGGAGCCAGCTGATTATGGACTGAAACCTGCACAAACTGCAAGCTAAATAAATCTTTCCTTCCTTCATTTTGGGCATTGGGTATCTTGTCTCAGCAATGAGAGAAAAGCAACTAAGACAGAATTTGGTATCACAGAAGTGGGGTCATTACTATGACTATACTTGACCGTGTGGTTCAAGAGCCTCTGGCCATGGCTTGTGGGAAGAGTTTGGAAAGGTTCTGAGATTTCACCTGATAGAGTGGCGTTAGAATGCCTTTGGGTGTTCCTCATGGGAGACTGTGGTCAGAGCTCAGACGACCAAAACACTGATAGAAATCCTGACAGTGAAGACCAGGCTCGAGCGGTTTCTACTGGGAAGAAGGACTCCATTGGGTTCTGGACTCCAGATGATGTGTATTATCGATTGGCACAAATTTTGTCTGCATTTTGTTTGTGTCCAGAGACATTTGCCTGAGCCTAATATTAAGGGCGGTGGACTAATTGATCTGGCAGAAGAAATTTCAAAGTGGTCTAATGCTAAGGCAGTGGGATGGCTATTTTGGGGGGCTTTAGCCAGATTTATGTTGAGAATCAAGAGCAAACATTCTGGAAGGA